CCCCCCCCCCGCAGACCGAGCTGCCTCTGATCAGACATTGCGGGGGAGGGGGGCCCTTCCGCTCGCCCACGGCCAGCCCCCCCCCCCCGATCACTGTGGCCCTGCGGGGTCAGCCAGATGGAAGCCGGGCTCCCCCAGGCCCCGACCTGGGCCTCCCCTGGGCACAAGAGGGCCCCCACCTGTCTCCAGGTCGCCCTCCACCAGGAAGGCCAGGATGTTGTTCATGGCCCCCATGTAGAAGATGAGGCGCAGCTGCGTGACACACATGGTGACCAGGCTGAGCAGCAGGATGGGGCTGAAGACGCTGTTCATGAAGGACGGGGAAGCTGTGTTGGGGGTGGGGAGAGAAAGGAAAATCCGTCAGGCTTTCCCCAGGAGGCCCCGCAAACGGAGGGCAGTTCTGCGCAGTCCGGAATCCCAACACCAGCCGGTCAGCCAGCCGGCCCTTGGTCCTGGGCCCAGAGAGCCAGCTGCCCTCCCCCCGCAAGATGGCTGCCAGGTCCAAGGCCTCAGCATGGGCTGAGGGGGCGGTACGGGTTGTCCGAGGGGTCCCCTCCCCCCACTTCAGCAAAGGCTTTGGCCGCATCCTTTCAGGGCCCACCGCCCCCCTTCGTGAAGGGAATTCCCACCCCCGGTGCAGCGTTTTCAACCCAAAAGTCTTTTAATGCATAGAACCAGAAGGGAAACGTCTCCTGGCAGCCCTTCCTTCTTGGCTCACGGAGGGCAGGGAAAGGCTACTGCACAGGGAAGGACCTCTTGCCCCTTGGCCCGCAGGACCAGGCCAGACCCACGGGGCCTAGGGGGCAGAGGGGCTCCCAAGGCACCCCAGTTCTTGCCAGCAGGAGAAACGGGCAGCGCTGGCTCCTTGACTGCCTTCGGGGGGGGGGGGGGGGGGGTGGAAGCTAGCCAATGGAGAGACCCCTCTGCAAAAGCTATGCCACCGCGGGAGCCTGCCAACCTGCCCACCCAACTGGCATGGCAGCAGCCTCCGGCAGAGGGAGGGCCGGGCCATGCCTGCCACTCGTGATCCTCACCGGCACTGTCCGGCTCGCACTTCACCTCCAGGTCCACTGTGGAGAAGCAGAGCTTGTTGCCATCCTGCAGCGCCGTGGCCTCCTTATTGCCCTTCATGGAGCTGCCCACACTGAGGCGGCGGCCGACCGTGGTCACCTGCTTGTAGAACTGCTTCCCGGTGATCTTGTGGTCAAAGCCCAGCCAGCTGAACTTAATCTTCACCCTGGGCGGCAGGGAGATCAGTCCTGCTGACTCTTGGCCCCCAGACCCAATACCTCCTGGGAGCAAGGTGGGTACATGTGGCTTTGCCAGGGACCCTCCCTCTTAAGGGGCATCCCCAGCTGTGAAAGGCGAGGGAGGCCACAGCCTGGGGGGGGCGGGGTAAGCTTTGGCTGCAAAGAGCAGCAGCCAGCACGGGGGAAACCAGCTCTGGTACCCATTCAGCAGGAGGGCCAGCCGGACCGTGGGTTCCTGGGCGGATGGGCAAAAGGGGGCTGCCTGGCACAGCTCCGCCCATGTTCACCACTTGAGGCTCTGGGAGAACCTGAGACAGGCGGGCCACGCAGGGCCCTTTCTCCAAGCCCCACTCACGTGTAGTCCATGTCTTCGGGGCCCGGGAAGGGCTCCAGGGGCCAGTTGAAGAAGCAGTTGAAGAAGACAAGGCCCGCACAGCCTGCCCAAACCAGCAGGATGAGGATGAAGGAGACGCCCAGGTCGTAGATCACCTGGGGAGCAAGAGGAGCACCTGGGAAGAAGCGCCTGGCCCAGCTCAGGCTGAGGGGAAGTCGGCCTTAAGAGCCGGGTGGGCGTTAGTGGGGAGAGGGGGGCCCTTAGGGGTCAGGCCGCCTTGGCCACTTCTCCAGGGCAAGGCACCACCTCCCATTGGGAAGGTCCCGGCCTTTAGATCAAGGACAGGGTTGGGGTTCATTTTGGGGTAGCCCATTCCTCTGGCATCCAAAGGGCTCTCTGGGGAGCTCATGGAGGCAGGAGGAGAAAATGGAGACGTGCCTTGATCCCACCCTCCCTTGTGCTCCAACTGCCCCATGAAAACAAGGGGGCGGCCCTTTGGTCAGCCATCCTCCAAGATGCCCTGCAGACCGGCTGCCCACTGAAATCCCACTGAGCTGTCTTGCCTCACTGCCAAGTGAGATCTGCCCAGCCCGTAAACCAGGCTGAGGACCTCAGCTCAGAGCCAGGCCCTGTGCCCAAAGCAACCCCCCCCCCCGGGCGGCTGCGGCCCGGCCCCCCCCCCCCCCCCCCCAGGGGGGCCCCCAGCCCCCCCCCCCCCATCGCCATCCCTGGGGCAGTCTGTGCCCAGGGCCAGCTTCTCGGGCTGCAAGGACAGCTGTTTTCCACACCGTCTCCCTTTCCTGAAAAGACCACAAGGCTTCCACAAAACAGGGCAGAAATGGGTTGCCATTCACTGCACAGCGTCCGGTAAGCATGCAAGAGGAGGGGGGTGGGGGGTGCGCAGGTGTACATTAAATTCCGTCAGGCCTTTGGCTTTCACTTGTCCAGGTGCCGTCCTGGACTCCTTCCTGCCGCTTGACATGCAGCCTGTCTCCAGAGAGGGTGCCGATCTCGGGGCCAGCTAGATCTGGGCACGCGCCACCTCTGGCCTCAGATGGGGCATCACTTCTGCTCAGGGCTCAGGTGGATGAAGCTTTGCACAGCTTCATCTGGGGTGCCAGCTGCATCCATTCCTAGATTGGGGGGGGGGCTTTGGGGAGTCTTGCCCTGGCCGCCTAATAGCTTGACTACTGCAATGCACTCTGCAGGGAGCTGCCCTGAAGACCCCTCAGAAGCTTGGGGCAGAGCAGCTGAGCGGTAGGTGAGCTGCACTGGTTCCCAGTTTGCTTCTGGGTGGGATTTAAGGAGCCGATTATGACCTCACGCAGAGAGGCCCGGTCAAGCAGGAGGAAAGCGGGAGGCTGGGGTTAGAGCCCCTCTGGCGGAAAGCAGCTGCAGCCTCCCTATGGAGCTGACTCTCAGTCTGGCCCAACTGGAGCGGGGCGACACGGGGCCTGGTTGCCTGAGGTGCTGCCTATCTCCAGTGGCACCTGCCTGGCCATCTCGGACTTGCTTTCGGTTCCATCTTCGGGACGCCTTCCCTGGTGCAGGCCCTGCCCTCTGGAATGAACCCCCCCCCCCCGAGATCGGGCGGCTCCCACCCTGAGGGCATCCTGTAAATCCTTGCGGGGGGGGGGCTCCCTTGGTGGGCGTCTGCCCTGCTTTCTTCTTGGCCGTCCCGTTCCTCTTAAGGGCTCCTGGGGGGCTTTATCCCTGTGCTGCAAGCTGGCCGGAGTCAACTGGACTCTGGCCCCATCTCAGTTGGATAAAGAAATGCCTAAACTCCAGTCCCACAGGTGGTTTGTGACCCCCGGGGGAGTTGGGGGACGTTTTCTGGGTGTTCCCATTCCCAGCCTGCACTGCCCCCCTCTTGCTGTTTCCTCCCCCTGCACTTACCTTGATTCCGGGAAACGTCACCGCCGAGGAGGCGTAGGAGCCAATCATGAGGGCAATGAAGGTGGAGCGGAGATCCCCGAACATGTTGGGCAGCTGGGAAGGGAGGGAGAGAGGGAGGGTGTAAGGGCAAAAAAGGCTGGCTAGAGGGAGGCTCTCCACAGGGCGGGGGGGGGAGCTGAAGGGGGGCGGAGGGGGTGACGGAAGAGACCCTAGAGCCACAATTGGGGAGGAAAAGGGGGAAGGGGAGGGCGAGCATCCCTCCCGGACCTTCCACACCTTTGGCAAGGCTGGGAGGGAGGCCATGGGGAGGGAAGGGGGCAGCTTTGAGATCTGACCCCCCGAAGGCTTGGAAAACAGCCTCTCCTCAGCTCCCCCAAATGACCTGAGGTGCCACTAAGGGCAGAGCCAGGGATCCCTCCCCGAGGCCAGGCAAGGGCAGACCCTCTGGGCCCCTCTCGGCCCAGGCGGAAGCGCACAGGGGCGCCAAGAGCCCGGTCACAGCAGGCACTCCCCCCCCTCCCTTCCTTCCTTAGGCCTTCACTAAGCGCACAAAGCCCCTGTCTGGCAAAGGAGCCCCTCCCCAAACCCCCTCCAGCATGGGTGCTGTGGGGGCAGACACAACACCAATCCGGGGCGAGAGCGGTGCCATGGAAGGTGGCGGAAGGGCTCGCCCCGCCCAGCAGGGAAGTTGGCACTTACTGTGAGAGACGTGAAGGTCAGGCACATCCCTCCGAAGCCGTTCAGCGACAGCGAGATGAAGATGAGCACCGAGAGGGCTGGGCAGAGGGAGAAAGCGCTGGAACACCCCCCTGCCAGGCCAGAAGCCCGGGGGGGGGGGGGCGCACATGGGGGACGGCTGGCGTGATGCCCGTCCCCCAGCCCCCCACTGGGCAAGGCTCCCTGGCTGCCCCTCCCCCCGCAGAGAAGCCCTGCTCCAGCCTCCCCCCAGAGCCCCCGCGGTCACACTCACAGTCCGGGTTGCTGGCCCCATAGGCGATCATCACGCAAGAGACGGCAAAGCAGGCGCTGCGAAGGCACACGGGGAGGCCTGTCGGTCCCCTGGATCGCACGCCCAGGCCTCTCGACCCCGCAACAGGCCTCCCCTTGCCCACCCCGCTCTGCCTTTGAAAGGCTCCTCTCAACGGAGGCTCTGAGCCACCAGCCAAGGGCCCGAGCCATCTCTCCAGGCTCCCTTTCCCTCCCCAGGAGCCTCAGGTGCCAGCATCCCTCCGCCCCAGAGTTTGGGGGGATTCTCTGCCCACCGAACAGGGCGCAGAAAGCAAGCTGTCTTCTCCCAGGCAGCCCGAATAGGCCAAGAACCCTCCGATGGGAGGCAAAGCAAAGGTCGTTCCCCCCCCCCAGCCACGCTGACCTCTGGCCCTGGGCTCAGGAGGGAGGGATGGGTGGCTCTCCCTCCCTGGCATGTGGATCCAGTGGCTCTCCCTCTCTCGTGGGAGGGAAGGGAAGCTCTCCTTGGTGCGGAGGGCTGTGGGCGGCTGTGCTTCGGCCCCGAGAATCCCCACCCAGGCCTACCTGCCCAGCAGCCTCAGCTTGCGCGGCCCATACTTGTCCATGACGATGCCCAGGGGCAAAGTGATGGCGCTCAAGAGGAAGGAGCCCACGGTGAAGGCCAGGTTCAGCATCTCATCCTGCTCCTTGCAGATCAGCCAGCCGTTCATTCGGGCCACTTCTGGCTCCGGGGCTGCCGTCCCGTTCCCGGGCACCAAGGGCCCCCCCGTGGAATTCTCTGCGGGGGAAAAAGAAGGGCAATGCAAGAGGCGTCCTTCAGGAGGCCTGACCTCCCCACCCACGCCAGCTCTGCCCTGCACGGGCCGGCACTGCTCTCCTCATCGGACGGACTTTTAGAAAACTTTTAAGATCGTCTCAATGTGAAACGAGGGAGCCGAGTCCACGTTTCAAAGCTGAGACTCCGCCTTTAGTCCAAAGGGACCCAGGTGGCCCAGTTTTCCCAGAGTGGGGACTGTTGCACCCCAAAGGGTGGGGCCTAGAGAATGAGACCTAGAGAAAAGGCCCCGCTGTCAGGGGAGCCAGGAGGTGTGCAACCCCCCCCCTCTGCTAGGTATGCAATAGTGCCCCCCCTTCTCAACCTCCGGGCTCAAGAGCCTGGGACCCCTCACCCTCGGGGGCCATGGAGGAAGAGGGCAAGGTCTCCCCGGGGTTCCTGCTCTCCAATTAGAGTGCACTGTGTGACCGCACGCTCCCAGCTGACCAGCCCACACTGGTTTACAACATCAATTTGAACAATGCGCCCATCAATTTAAGAGAATAAAAACAGGCAATAAATAATGATAAAACCATAAAACCATGTTATCGGAACAGCCATCGTGTGTGAGTAATATAAAACCGCCATTAAGAAGGGGAGGCCGATTGAGAGGAATGGGTTTTAAGTTCAACACTGCAAAATTGGGTACATGATGTCCTCGCTATCAGCGGAAAGTCCCTGCATTGGAAACCCCCCCCCAAGATGCCCCTCCCATTCCAGCCGAGGCTCCTCCCTTCCAGGGGAACCTCCGAGAGGCCCTTGGGGGCGGAGGAGCATCTCAAGGTTCCCCCCAAGGTCAGAAGGGCAGCCACCTGCCCAAGAGATCCCGCCAGGCCCCAGGGGACGGAGCCACCCCAGAGGAAGGGACCGGGGGGGGGGGGCGGCGTTCCAGCCTTTCAGGGCAAAAGAGGCCTGCTGGGAGAGCCGGGGAGGGAGGCACCTGGGCCTAAACCCCAGGCTGGACCCCAAGACCCAACGGCTTCCGAGGAAAGGAGGAGACCAAGGGGGGAAAGCGGGGCCGTTTTGTGGGGAGGAGGCCCACGGGAGTGCTGGATCCAGGGTCTGGGGTGCCCTGTCCTGTCCAAAGCCAGCGTCCTTCTGCCCTGCCTTTCTGCTAAGAGGTGGCCAGCTCAAGACGAGACCTCGACTGGGCCCAGAGGCCAGCACCTCCTGGGAAGGGACGCCTGCGGCACAACCGCCTCCTCTGGGTGCTCTGTGGCTGTCTCCCCTTCTAGGGGTGAAGACGCCCAAGGGAGACGAGAGGCCAGCCGTGGGGAATGCCGGTCGCAGAGGGGCAAACGGTGGGGGATTTGGGGAGGGAGCGGGCATAGGTTGGGTTGGGGCTCAAGGCAGTGCAGGCACATTCAGCCGCAAAAGATCTGGCCTCCAAGCTGCCGCCTGCTTGTATCAGGAGAGCTGTGGGTGCGCACGGGGCCTCTGACTGTGCCAAGAGTCGAAAGGGGAGGCAGGGAATGGGGCGAAGGGCCAAGGAGATCCGTCAGCAGGAGCTAATACCTGCAGAAAGCCGGTCAGAGGAGCCCCCGCCCAGGGGAAGGCTGGCCGTCCCACAGGGGCCCTGGAGGCTGCACCAGCGCCAGAGGCAGGGAGAAGGAGGGGTGGGCATCCCGCTTGCAATAGGAGGCAGCGGGTCAGAAGACTGAGTCCTCCTCAGCCCCCCCCCTTGGCTTCGCTCTCCTCCCCAGAGGGGGCTGGCTTCAGGCAGGCCAAGCAATTGAAGCAGCCACGCGCGTGCCTGGAGCCCCCCCCCCCCCGCCCAGCAAGGATGGGGGCCCAAGAGAGAAGTGCTGGGCAACCCTGGGCAGCCGGCTCCGCCCTCGGCAGCTTCCTTGGTTACCCCTCGCCTGCCCTGTGCCAGAGGAAGCTCACGCCAGCTGCGGCTGGTTGATGCTGGATGCCCGCCCCCCCGCCCCCAACCGGGAGACCACTTTCCCAGGTGGCTCTGGAGAAACATTAACTAACCTGCTGTAGACATGGGAGTAATAGGCAGAGCCCAGAGGGGGGCAAGGGGGGGAGGCCAGCAGAGAAACCAGGCGAAGGGACGGTAGTCACAGTGGGGGAGCCCAGGAGAGCCCGTGGGAGAGGTGGACAGGCAGCCCCGGGCAGCGGGAGGGCACCCCTGTGTTGGGGTCTGGCAAGAGGGAAGCCTCTTCACAGGCAGGCGCCTGCTCTAACCATCTGCTGAGCTGCCCCCTCCCTGCCCAAAGTTTTAAACCCCAGCAGCGGCTTTACCATAAACAAGGCTGTTTGTGGTGAAAACACACTTAGGCTGGCAGGGACACCAATCTCTGGCTGCCCTTGAGGCGCTGGGGCCTGACAGCTGCCATCCTTGGAGGAGGAAAGGGCATAGGGTGGTGCCCTACGCTGGAGACCCCGTGGGCCTTGGGCCAACATGGGGCCAGAGCCACCCCATAGCCACCCCAGTCAGCCTCCCAAGTGCAGTTGGCCCCAAGATCCCAGGAGAGCTGATGTGGTCCTGACTTCCTTCTTCTAAGGCCCTGGAGAAGAGGGGGAGCCCCACTGCCAGGGGGGGCTGATTCTTCCCTCCCCCAATGCAACCTCGGCCTAAGGGTAGGAACCTCCCCCCCCCCCCTGCCCCATCACTAGCCCCCCCCCAGGGGCCGGCTTGATCCGAACCATCCTGGGAATGGCAGAAGCCACTCACAAGCAAGCCTGGAATGATTCACGGATGGTGCCCTTGGCCGTGCCCATCCCTTGCCCCGACGTCCCTCCAGGGCCTGCGGAGCACAGCCTGCTCACACACGTGGGGGGGGGGGGGACCCCCGGGGGGGGGGCAGGGTCCAGGGCCTGAGCTCTGCAGAAAAGCCACAGAAAGTGCCTTAAGGCGCTTTGTGGAGCCCGAGCGGGGCCAGGCGCAAGATGCTGCCTGAGTGTCACCTGAAGAGGAGGGAGGTTAAAACAAGGGGAGCCCCTGAGCCCAGCCGGACCTGCTGCTCCAGCTCCCCCTTCTGATCTCACTTCACCACTTGGTGTCCATCCTAGATTCTCCGATGGGAGGGCAGCCCCAATCCCATTGCCCCATTTCTCATTCCTCTTCAGGCAAAACCTTCATTTCCTCCCAGGAGGAACCAAGTCAGGGGCCCCGTCATCCACAGCATCAGTTGCTCAGTGCCAGGAACGACCCCCCTCGTTGCGAGGGGGCACAGAGCCACAAACCATACCCCGGGGCTAAGCTCCAGAGTCCCAGCATGCCCCAAAGGGGCTCCCTTGAGCCATGGCCGTTCACCCCCCCCCCCCTTACAAGATGGCTGCCCCAAGGCGAGGTCAGGTCAGGCTAGCTTGGGCAGTCCAGGAAGGAAAGGGAGGGAGGAGGCAGGTCCCAACAGCCTTCAGCCGCTTGCCGCCTCATGAGGAATGGGGAACCGTCATTGCCGGCAGCTGCAGGGACCCTGAGCGGATGTGGGGAGGCAACTCAGCACTTCAGCCGGAAAACGCCAGCTCAACAGGCAGGGCTGCCGAGTCGGAGTGGAACAAAGTTGTTGCACGGAGCCCCTGATCCGGCTGCAGCCGGCCACAGGACACACCCTGGTCTCTCTCTCTCTCTCTCTCTCTCTCACACACACACACAAGGGAACATGCACGCGCACACACACACACACACACCCTGCCCCTCCGATGAGGAAGAGCAGGGTCAGCAAAGTGCAGTGGAGAAGCAGAGCCTCCCCCCCCCAAGTTCCCTGGTCAGGTCCCTGCCAGAGAGCCCCCAGCTGAGAAGGAGACCCCTCCCGCTAAGGGCCCCCCTCCATAAGATGGGGGGTGGGTGGGAGCTGTTTTGCTTGTGAACAGCAGAAGGAAGTCCTCAGAAAGACGAGACGACCAGACAGACGGGAGAGCCCAGGGCTGCTCCAGAGAGAAAGGAGGAAGATGACAGGAGTGGAGCCCCTCCTTCCTGGACAGGCCGGAGAAGGTGGGGGGCACTTTGTTGCATGGCTGGCCTTGGTTGAGCCGTGGAGTCAGTGGGCTTTCCCTGGGCTGCACCCCGGGTTCCACTGCCCTGCGTGGGAATTCACAAGGGCCCATGGATGGCACTGAGGGCACCTGCCTTTGACTCTCCCCTGTGGGTTCCCTCTCCCCGCAGCCCCGATGCTGCAGAGCCCAGCTCTTTCCCCATCCCGGGGCCCCTCCCCGCACTGAGTCCCCACCCGCCCTCTCCTGCCAGCCTAGAATCAGCTGGTTCTGCAGGATCTTATCGTCTTCCCTCTTGGATAAAATCTCTGCCACGGCAGCTTTTTATCAAGGTCTCCGCCCGTTCAGACCCTGTCAAAGATTGACCGGGGTCCAAAGGGCAAGGCTGATTGGGGGGCAACGAGGAGGCATGGAGACAGAGGCAAGAGCTTCCTGCCCACCCCTCCAGTGTGGCTGATATCCTTGTTCCAAAGACCACAAAGACTTCCAAGAAGGAAAGGGATTTATGGGGGAGGAGTCCAAAGGCTGTCCTGGCCCTTCCCAGTCCAGAAGCCAAGTAGCCGGGCTCACCTAGAGGCGGCCGAGACCGAGGCGGGCAGGAAGTGGAGACAGGCTCCAGGCCCCCTCCTCAAAAGAGCAGACCCCTGCCCTTGTGATCGCAAGAGATGCCCCCTCCTCACAGAGCCCCTTCCCCACTAAGCAGCCAGAGGTGGCACACACAGGCCAGACTGTGGTGGCCGGGGGTGGGTGGGCTGGCTTGCCCAGGAGGCCACTAGTGAAGCCCGAGTGGCAAAGGCCTGGTGCCCAGGAGAGCCGGGCCCAGGTGCTTCTTACCTGGGAGGGGGCACAGGTAGGAGTAGAAGCCCTCCGACTTGAGCATGATCAGGAGGGATCCCCAGCCCAGGAGGACGGCGGAGAAGAAGAGGTTCTCCACGACAGCCGTGCAGGCCATCCACCAGCGACGCCGGTGGGCCGTGGCGAGAGTGGGAGCCATGATGGTGGGCGGCAGCAGGCGGGGGCTCTTCTTCACCAGGAGGGTCTTCCAATCTGTTGGCACAGAAGGCTTTTTTCTTGAGCCCCTTTTTCCTTTGGGGTTCCCTTTCTTTCCAGACAGTGACTGATGCCTCCTCCAGCCCCCCTAGTGCCCCCCCCCCCCGTTCCCCCCCTAACATTCTCAGAAGACGCCGCTTAAAAAGAACAAAAGAAGCCACAAGGCAGAAAGGGAACTCACCTAGTCGCTCCTACAGGTCCCCCAGCAGGTGGTCATCCAGCCGCCCCGTTCTTGGACACCTCTGCTAGGAAATCTGTCCTGGCCTCCACTGAGACCGACTGCCCTGCTGCCTAACCCCCCCCCCCTTCTCCTCTGAGAGCCCCAGAGGGGATTGGTGAGGGAAGAGATGGCCGATCCAGGCAGCCCTCTGCCAGCGGAGGGTCCCTGCCGAGGGATCTTTAGAGGGCCCAGCGAGTGCTGGGAGGAGGGAAACTCAGCTGGCAGAGATTGGATCAAGCAGCAGCTAGATAAGGGCACAAACTCTTGGTTTATTTTATCGGGACTCCTCCAAAGCGCTGGATAAACTTATCAGCCTTGGGATAAGAGGATGAGGTCAGCATGAGAGGTCAGTAACAAGTGGCTCAACCAGAGGAAGGGGGGCAAGTGCCCGGACAGTGGAGGCAAGTCTGAATGATACAGAGAGGCAGCCAATGGCCGGCCGGCCACCCACCCGGGGCCTTAGTGGTGCCAAGGCAAAATAATAAAGGCCCCGAGTGCCACAGGGGGCCAAGGGGGAAGCCCCTGGGCAACCCCCAAAGTGCCCCTAGAGCAACTGGGGGTGGGGGTGTGCCTGAGCAGTGTGAGGGTGGGAAATGCCGCCATGGGCTGGCCTGCTCCTTCTCTTCACAGCTGGCAGCAGCTTTGGGGGAAAGAATTAAATGGGGGGAGGGGTGTCTGGGAATGGGTGAAGTCAGGAGAAAAGCGGGGTGGGGTGGTTGGGTGGGGTGGAGTCAGAGGGACCCGAAACAAGGAAGCAGGAAAGGAACCGAGAATTAACTGATCTGAACCTCTTGCCGGAGGGCAGCTTGAGCTGGAAATTGCAAAGGCCCCTTTTGCCCTGCAACGATCTCACAGGGGGGGCCAAGCCCGGACAATGGCTGAAGAAGAGGCGCTCCAGCTGGGCACAGGGAGGAGGGCAGAAGGGGAAGGAATCTTAAGACGGGCTGGCCACAGTAGATCAACCGACCCTCCCGATTTAGAGGCCTTGTTCCTAAATACCCAACGCCTGGAAATGCCTGGGGTGGGGGCGCAGGGGGCTTCATAAGACCACTTAGGATGGAAGTGGCTAGCAAGGACCTCGCCCCACTCGCACTGGACGGGCTGGGACACTGCGCTGAGCCCCTCGCCAAAGGCCAGGCCAGTTGGGGCGGGGGGGGGGGGGAGAGCGGGTCTCCAGCCGCTTTGGATCTCTGCTTGCCCCCGGGATGGTGGGGCGGAGGATAAGAGGCCGAAGTTCGGGCAGGGGGCTCTCTCCGAGCCTCCCACACGGGCGCAAGCGGCGGCGGCAACGGGAGTCCCGGAGGCCGGCTGGGATATGTGGGAGGAGCAGAGGCCCTGCAGAGATCCGCTCTTCCCCGCGGAGGGAAGCCAAGCCCCGTGCGCTCACCTGGCTGCCCAGCTGGATCCGGCCGGTGCTGCGCGGCTGCGGCTGCGGTGGCGACGCTTCTGTTGCTCCGTGCCCGGCGCACCGCCGCGTCTTTTATACCTCGAGGCGGGGAGGGGGAGCGAGGCGGCACTGATTGGCCCCGGCGCCTTGCCAGCCGCCGCGTCTCGCCCAATCGGGCAGCGCGCCGCCAAGCCAAGGCGGCGAGGTGGGCAAGCGGGCGTCGAGCGGATCGGCTGGCGACGCGGAGCTCCCTCGGCGACCCTCAACCGGCCGGCGTCGCTTCTTTTCGCCAGGCGTAACTCTCCAGTCCCCGCCTCGATATTCGCCCCCGATCGCGGCCAGCGCCGGGCCTCGCTCGGGAGGCCACGGCTTGGAAGGCCGCCGCTGGAGCGAAGCTGCGCGCAGCCGCTGCGCTAGCATCGGATCGGGCGCGGCGGACGGTTCCGACCGAGCCCCGAGCGTCGTCTTTGGCGCCCGCCCAGCGCCGCGGAGATCCCTGTACCGGGAGAAGGGGAAGACACCCCCCCCCCCGGGGCGGGGCAGGGAGAGGAGCTTCTCCCGCCCGCCCCTCTTTCCGCGCCCACCGGTGTCCCCGCAGGACGACCCCCCGCCCCGCAGTCGCCGCCGCTTGAAAGAGACGGGCCGGGGGTGGGTAGAAAGGCGCCGGGCGCCCTTGGAGGAGAAGGGTCCGCGTTCGCCTGTCTGCCCGCGGATGTCAGCGGAGCTTTGCCGCTGCTTCGTCCGGGGTCTCTGGGCAAACACGTCCACCCGAGCGGGGCTTGTCGCCTCCGGCACGCAACGAGCGCTGCCCTCGGATTCCCTGCCCGGTTGCCCCCCTTTTGAGGGCGATGGCAGTAAACTGTTCCCGTAGCAGCGGCTGCTCCTCTTTCCCGGCTGGGCTGGTGAACGAGGCTTCGCAGGGCACCTTCGGCTCAGCAATTCTCTCCGCCGGAGCGGCTGGTCCCGGGAGGCCGGCCCCTCTGCCCGGAGGGGGCTCCGGTCCGGCCTTCCGAAGCCGTGAATTTGTCCCTCTCGCTGATACGCCTGAGGCGCCCCTGGTTGCCTCGCCGGCTGGTTCCTCCGCCACAGAGCGAAAGACGCGCTTCCCTCGAGGAGAGCAGGGGATGCGGGTCCTGAGGCAGCCAAGTCCCCCCAAATGCTCGCAGTCCCACCTGCCAGCCGGACGGTCGCCGCGCTCCCCTCTGGACTCTGCCGGCGCCTGTGCCCTCCAGAAGGCAGGAGGGTCACCCGGGTGGTTTTGTTTTTAGCAAACCTGAGAGGAGCACCAGGGTGGGGAAAAGGGAACACGTGACTACGCAGGGCGGGGGGGGGGGGGG